AACCCATTCCAATCCGTTATCCTACTTTTCGGCGCTGTGTAGAATAGCTAATGGAGTGCAGTAACCCACAAAAGAGAAGGATTTCTCCTCCTATTCCTCTTAACCTTTTCCCCTCATGGGTTTGGTGTCTTCAGTACAGGTCAGGCGCTGTATTTTCATTGGGATCGATCCCAGGCGACTTCGTTTGCAATGAGAATTTCCCTTTAATTCGTTCGATCTTCCCTTGCTACTCGCTATTTCACCATTGCTCCATACGCATCTGTCACCGCCCCCTGACGTCTGCGATAGCCATGACCAGGCAGCACATTATCACATCCTCGACCTTTAAGTTGGGGCCTTCGTCTCTGAGCCAACACTTAGCTGGTTACAGAGTGAGTTACGTTTATATCATTATTCCATAAGATCATGGGAGTCAGGATTTGGGGAGAGAGGAGTGCGTCCCCCTTTGAGTTTTGGAAAATAAAAATTAAATTGAAGAGAAGAAGCACAGATGCCAAGTTATAATAAGAAAAATTAAAAAAATTATTTGTTAAACAAATATTCTACTATGTAGGATTCGATGTGGTTGCGAAGAGGTCTATCTTCTAGGATGTAAGAAAAGTCTGCTTGTTGCCTCCTTCACACCGAGTTCTTGCTTGGCTTATTCTTATACCCAGAAAATGGCGGCGACATGCTCCTCCGAAAAGTCTATTGACTTTTAACGTAGTACGTGGCAGTATGTCCCAAAAGACACAACCATTCAAAATATTCTTCCAACCTGAATACTACAGCGCGATCAGTGAAAATAACCTTAAACGGTAAGCATTCGAAGTTTTTAAACCATTTTTCTGGTTGACACCCCGGGGGATGTAGTCAGCCTTGGCAAATTTGCCCCCCCCCCGTAAGAAACTCCGACGGCGCTCATACATAATATTCCGTGTAACCTTGTTGTTGAATTTTTTCTCGTACAGATCCTGTTTCGGTACTGTTAATAGAACTAAATGCAAAGGGGCAGGGAGTATGGGTAAAGAAACGCAGGCGCCACGGAGATAATGCATCACGTGGAGAGTATGGGGTAAAGAAACGCAGGCATCACGGAGATAATGAGTCACGCGGAGAGTATGGGGTAAAGAAACGCAGGCATCACGGAGATAATGCATCACGCGGAGAGTATGAGGTAAAGAAACGCAGGCATCACGGAGATAATGAGTCAAGCGGAGAGTAGGGGTAAAAAACGCAGGTACCACGGAGATAATGACTCACGCATCGAGGGGCTGCATCAACAGAAACAGTAGAAGCCTCCGGGGCGATGTCAACCCATGCGCGTCTCCATGGCCCAACAGAGACTTTCAGCTGAGACTGCCAGAATTTGATACGGCCCGATATGGAGCCCTGTTCATCCATACTCAGTCAATTCAATAGCAAGAGTCCTATGCGGCAAAGACGGGAACTGCACACAAAATTTTAGCAAAAAATCCTCATGGAAAGAAACGAATTGGAAAGACTAGTGCTAGTTGAGAAGGCACGATTAATACAAATTATAAAACGGGGTGGGAGAACGTTGATTGGTTCGTGGCCAAGTATCCTAACACAGGCTCCAAAATTAGCATTTCTTTTTGGTGCGTTATTTAAAGGCGCTGTCAATAGCAATATTACATGGCGTCGAATAAGAAGATTGATAAATTTGAAAGGGCTTGGATGGAAGAGGTTATGGCCTAATCGATATACTTTCCCTGAATTTGTCTGGGAGCACTGAGGAAATTCACAAAAACCTAAGACAGAATAGTCGATGTCCCTGCCGAGATTCGAACCGAGCACCTCATGAATATAAGTCAAAATCGATGCCGATTCACCAATCCACTTGGTTCAAATTTCCATTCCTACTTCCCTTTTTCCTCTCCCCAGACTCCTGTGAACACGGTAATGAACATTCTGTTTCCTTCAAAGGTAGGGAATTGTTTGAATAGCTGAGGGACTGTTAGCTTCTCAAGGTGGACTATGCACATGGAGATGTTTAAGTATCGGGCTCTTATGAATAAGGCGATGAACCCGTAAATATAATAAAGTACCATAAACCCCATTGAAATTTCAACTGGAAATTGTGGTTGTCAACATCACATTTGTCTTCACTCTATATACGCCATTGTGGCCCACTTATAAAAGTGGGCACTTCTACCTCGGCCTACCGATTCCGGGCTTCAAATTTACAGATTTACGATCCAATTGATTTAAGATCCGTTAGACTTTCGGCCCTAATATTCGCGCTCCCGACTTAAAATTCGAATTTCGGGCGCCATATTGTAATTCTCTGGGGGCTCGAATTGCAACTCCCAGCCATAAACCGGAAAATATTAATTAACTTGCTGTTTTCTCGTAATGTGACATGACGTAGAGCCGGGATAGCTCAGTAGGTGTAGCGACTGGCTACGGACAGGACGGCCGAGAGATCGGAGTAGTCTCAAGAACGGCTCAGGGGCCCACCTAGCCTCTTATTCTATTGGTACTAGGGGCTTCTTCTATGGGGGTAAAGGAACCGGAGCGTGAAGCTCACCACTTACCTCCAACTAGTGGCTAGATCAAGAATGGCGGAGCTATACCCCCACTCCCCCATATATATTCATGGCACAGTGATTAATTATAACAGGGACATCTTCATTTCAGCTTCACTGTAAAGTTTGGCACATTTCGGAGCAAAAACGCCATAAATGTAATTACTGATATTATTTTGAAGATTAGCCAAACTGCAGGACGACCGCTTCATTCTGCATGTCTGACAGTCCATCCTTCATAACCACTCTGCCACGTGATGTCATTTAGTATTTCCTAAAGAGTGGACCCTGATGTAAACCTTACGTTGTGGGTTTGCCCGAGTTGGCGGAAGGAGCGCCCGACTCCCCTGCCTGCGCGCGCCCTCACGAATGCTCTCACTTTACAGCCGGCTAAGTTGACAAGGCAGCAAACATTGTTCTGTCAGTGTTACCATGGTAACATGTAACTTCTATTCTGCAAATAACTTTAATTGTTGACAGCAGAATATATCTCTTCCGTTGATATTCTCATACACCAAATAATTACACAGAAGAAGAGCAGTTGTTTTTAAAGTTTTTTAAAATGGGGTTCCTGTAATTAAAGTGGCGGAATTCTTCCACTGTATGACCAGCCAAATGTCATGTCACGGATAAGCCTCTAACTCAAAGCACGAAGATGTGACACTATGCTTCATGATCAGGGCTATCGCACATCTCAGAATTCGCTGATAGATGGATATAGAGTAATGATTGAATGATGATTAGGAAGGAAAACCCAAAGAAGCTTGGAGAAACCTGCCCCGTGCCATTTCATGCACCCTGAATCTCGCATTAAGCCACTCAGGACTAAATCCGCGCTTTTGCGGTGAGCAACTAGCGCCTATTCTTCTGAGCTATGGGAAGGGCCTGCATCTGAATTAGCGTTTCCCAAAATGGGAGATGGGTCCCCCACTGGAGGCCATGAACCATTCTTCCGGGGGCCGCCAAAAATGTTAATGATCTAATTATTATACATTGTATAAATCAATATGAAGAGGCCACATTAAATTGCAAACATGTAAATGTATAAAATTTCCTCGCAGATAAGAATCTCTTTACCAGCAAATTGGACTTAAATTTGAGGAAGAAACTAGTGAAATGCTACATTTGGAGCATGGCTCTGTATGGGGCTGAAACATGGACACTTAGGGCAGTAGATCAGAAACATCTGGAAAGTTTCGAAATGTGGCGTTGGAGAAGGATGGAGAAGATCAGTTGGACCGATTATGTGAGAAATGAAGAAGTGTTAATTAGAGTCAGTGAGCAGAGGAATATCCTACACGAAATAAGAAAACGGAAGGTTAATTGGATTGGTCATGTTTTACGCAGAAACTGCCTTCTAAAAGAAGTTATTGAAGAAAGATAGAGGGGCGGATAGAAGTGACCAGAAAACGAGGAAGAAGACGTAAGAAGATGCTGGATGACCTTGGGGACAGAAGAGGATATTTTCATTTGAAAGAGAAAGCTCTAGATCGCATCAAGTGGAGGAACTGTTTTGGAAGAGACTGTGGACCTGTCGTCTGACAGATTACTGATGATGATGATAATTAAGTTCCTTGTTAGTTATATATATACCAGAAGATAGCACTATTCGAATTTGTTGATTTTCGTGAAACAACGCGGAATTTTGATCTCGTTCACTGAGCACTGCATATTAAGCAGACAGCAGGAGTTGTCTACAGACTATCTGCAATTAAGAGTACAACAGGCATGATTCATCAATCCTGGGTTTAACGTGAGAGGCTTCGCCTGGTCTGCTGCCAGTCAGAAAATATTTAGTTATTTGTGTCACAGTTGTGTCTTGTTTCATCATATCACAGCATGTATGTTAATACGCTTAAATGTACAGATCCTGTCTTTTCTTATTTTTTATTTATTATTTGTCCTTCCGCTCGCTTTCTCGTGTTCATTTCATTTATGAGTCGGAGAGTTACTTAGTTCCCCTCTAAATACTATTTACAAGTTCAGTCCCTACCTCACAGGGAATACATTACGCCTCCGCTACAGAGACCAACCGGTTAATGTCGTTTAGGGAAACAGTCGCTGTTTATTGCGAGAATCATACGAAACACAACAAATACACTCTGTGGAAAAAATACAGTTTTTTTAAATACTGAATAAAGAGGTATATATGATAATCATTATGCTTAATAGGGTTACGCCTATTGCATTATACAGACGGAGAGAAGTTTAATCGAATAGATGAAAACAAAGTCATTATAGATTCACATGAAAGAGCACGGGGATGTAACCTCTTAATTGAATGGTCTCTGGCACGAAAAACTGTAGCAATATTTCCGCTTAATTACGTTTCCTGGCCGCGTTCAATATCTGTGTGTATTATATACGTCACAATTACACAAACTTGCACAGAGCCCTTCAGTATGAAGAAAAGACCGTTCATTGATGAAATGCAACATCGTGTATTGACCGCGCGCAGTGCTGCCAACCTACCTGGCTCTGCTATGTGCGACATGGTGAGCTGCCCCGTTGCTGCATGACGTCTGCCCCGCTCGGAGCTCGGCCAGCAACTGAGTCATGCGCCGCGTGGAGAGTTCAACCCCCCCGCAAGCATCTACCTTACGTTTGGAGTTGCTCATTATTCCAGTTTCATCAGATTATGTGTTGCTCATGTTTCATGCAACATATCATTTCGTGTTGCTTAGACTTAGCATCGTTTTTGGAGGTATTCTAAACGCAACGTTTCGGAATCTTGATGTTTCCATCTTCATGTGAGGTGTGGGAGACACCTATTCTGTTTGGTCCGTTAGAAAAGGCTAACCTCAGTCACTGGAACTTTCATCCTCACATCTGAGGCCGGAAACAGATCAATTTTCCGAAACATTGTGTTTTGTAGGATACCGGACGGTGGATAGAGTCCGAAAAGACAGTTGTCCCAACTTAGTTACTTAGTTTCACATACTTAATATCGCCCATAAATTCGCGTTCTATAGATTTAATATAGTTTACGCTTAGAGACTAGTCTGTAATCAACCAAATGTCTTGTCAGGGATTAAGCCTCAACTTAAAAATCGTGGATGTGATAATGTGCTGCCTGATAAGAGCTCTCGAACACCATCAGGGGTTGAGGATATGAGTATGGAGCAATGGCATAATTATGATTGACAGAGAGGAAAACGAAGAAACTCGGAGAAAAACTGCTTCAGAGTTACTTCGTCCACTTCAAATCTCAGGAGAAGTCACCCGGGGTTGAACTCGAGTCTCTGCAATGAAAGGCCAGTGTCTAACCACAGTCGCTGTAACACGCTTGTGTCTCATTGTTACATTTCCTACAAATTTCGTAAGGATGAGTTCATCAGTTATGGTATCTTATACCATTTCGTGATGAGGTTAAATATCTCTTTGTTCTGGTGTTCAAATCAATATCTCGGCTTCCTCGAAATTCCGTATTGCTCAATAATTTCGAATCACCCAGATTTAAAATATTCAGAAGAGTGCTGTCTAAATACGTAAAAATTATAAATAAAGAAATCCCTGTGCTTAACTAATTAAGCACTAGACCATGAAGACGTATTGGGGAGTGGATGTATAGATGCACGTATTCTTGACCTCGGCACTAGTTTGAAGTGATTGGTCAGCTTCACGCCCGGCCGCTTTACCCTAAGTGAAATATACCCCAGTATCAATTGGATAAGATGATGGATGGGCCCCAGAGACGGTATGGACGCTGTTGAGAAAAATAAAGTCATTCCCCTGCCGGAGATCGAACTCCGGCCGTCCAATCCACAGCTTGTCGTACCGACTGAGCAATCCCGAAACGCATTTATTTACTCTTATAATTTTCAAACTTAATCCCGTTATTTTCTTCTCTTGTTTCTATAGAGAATGTAGTGGCAATGCTCGTAACTCGTATTCCGGATGTGCTACTAGGACACTGGCTATCATAACTGAGATTTGTCGTGATTTTTTTCAGTCGATCCAAGCAAATTCGTATTAAGCTCCTGCCGCCTCCTTCAAAAACCACTCTGGCTCTGAATTGTTTAATTTTGAGTCAGTTGAGAGTTGCAGTAGCTCGGGAACCCAGAGGAAGAGGAACGTCCGCGGTTGAAAGCCGCTACCAAGCAACGGCTACTGAAGCTTGAGTGACTTTATGCGTGCTGTAGTTACAGTGACCTTGCGTAACTCAGTGAGACTGCCGTAGTTGTAGTTGCGAGTGTAAGCGTCAACTATATCCGATAAGCAATCCAAACCCCGTCTATAGTCAGTCCATCACGTGACAGTATATTAAATCTAGGATTTATATTGGCAATCAGAATTTTGGAGTGGAGTACAATAGTGGCTCTCTCCGAACTAATATTTGGAACTTGTGTTTCGTGGCTATTATGACAATTAGAGCGGAAGCTATGGGTGCATGAGCCCTGAACCCGAGCTCCAATTTGCATGTTCCCATGTCCACTTAACACCAGCTCCCAAAATACTCGTATGCTACAGATTTGAAAGTGTACGGTAAGTTATGTCTTTATTTTCAATTTGCAGTGACAGTTGGAATTGTTATTATTATTATTATTATTATTATTATTATTATCATCATCATCATCATCATCATTATTGCTCTAATGACTTTTCCCCATTCTGGCAATCTTCTGAATTTTTATCCATTGCCCCCATTTCTGTTGCGGATGTCTGCAAAGCCATCAAGAGACTAAGACCTTCGAAATCTGTTGGACTTGACGATATTCTTGGTTTTATCACAAAAGGTTGTTCAGGTATTTTTATTCCTATACTTAGGCATATATATTTAACTTGAGCCTAACGCAGCAGTATTTTCCTGCTGCTGCAGTGGCTCCACCAATGTAACGTAACAGCCACGTAGCCGTTGCTACTGTTACGCAACCGGCGAGTAACACGTTCCGCGTTGTTACGTAACAGCGGACGCTGTTGCTCGGGCAACAGGCAGAAGTATAAGAAGCAGAGGTAGTGACCGAACGGGACCGAGTGTGGCAGTGTTCACAGAAGCGAGTGGTTGGCCAGGACGAGGAATTTGCCGTTCTACAGTCTAGTGGGAGTTGCAATAAAGGAGGGACTGTGATTGCTATAGTTACGTGGAAAAGTAATATGTAACTTCTCAAAAATACGCCTTCAAGTCTTAATCCGTGACTTGGAGATACTTGTTCTGCCGCTAGAGGTTCTAGAGTTACTGCATTGGGAAGTTGCATTTTGCTTCGTTGGTCACAGTGGTCAACAATTAGTCTTGGAAGTCGCAAGACATTGATATATTTTTGTGCGTGTGAATGGTATAAACGCTAGAAACGGACTAAAGAGGTTTTATAGCTTCATATATATCTTACGAGAAAGTTTTATTTTGTCGATTCAAAAGGCAGTAACCACATTACAACTGTGTTTTTGGTGTTTTGCTTTCTGCAGCTGCTTGTGTAACCATATCCTAGGAACAGCTCAACTATTCCAGGTTTCTGGCATCGTGTCTTAGTATTATAAAAAATCTAAACTATATTAAACATAATGGGGAAACATGAAGTCGGTACCCCAAAATATATTGCCAACAGAATAAAGGCGAAAGGCCTCCAGAAACTGCGTTGGTATTGTCAGATGTGCGAGAAGCAGTGCCGTGACGAGAATGGTTTCAGGTGCCATATGTCGTCAGAATCACATCAGCGGCAGCTTCTTCTATTTGCTGACAATACCGACAAATACATCAATAATTTCAACAAAGAATTTGAAAGCGGCTTTCTGGAACTACTGAAACGCCAGTTTGGTACAAAACGTGTTCATGCAAATCGTGTGTACCAGGACTATATCGCCGATCGTTATCATTTGCATATGAATTGTACGCAATGGGAAACATTGACAGACTTCGTGAAATGGCTTGGAAGGGAAGGAAAGTGCAAAGTGGATGAGACTGAAAAGGGATGGCATGTACAGTATATAGACCATGACCCAGAAACCATTGCAATGCAAGAAGCTCTTGGTCGCAAGGAGAAGCTCGACAGAGACGACCAAGAGAAGATGATGGCCTTCATTGAAAATCAAATTGAGAAGGGGAAAGAATTTTCCAAGAATTACACTCCTGTCTACGCGGAATTTGTGCGACCAAGTGAGGAATATAAAGTTGTTGTAAATTTGAAAGTAGAAACAAAAAGCGATGAAGACATGAAAAATAATAATTTGTTGGCAAGTAATTCCTTGAAGAATGACTACAAGAGAGGAGGGTGTTCTTCATCAGGAAACAGCAAAGTCTCAAAGAACTGTGGAAGGAGGGGTGAAAAGAGGACATTATCAGCCCTGGATGAGATTATTAAAGATGAAGAGAACAAGAAAGCACATATAAACAGAAAGGATTATTGGTTGGTTGAAGGAATTGTTGTGAAAGTGATTGCAAAGTCTCTGGGTGAAAAATACTACACAAAGAAAGGTGTTGTGACTGGAGTGCCAGATAGGTATGCAGCTACTGTAACCATGTTAGATAGTGGACACAAACTAAAACTAGACCAAGAACATCTTGAAACAGTGATACCAGCAATAGGGCGACCTGTGCGTGTTGTAAATGGTGCTTATCGTGGTTGCAGTGCCATACTTAGGGAACTGGATCAGAAGAAATTCTGTGTAACCATTGAAATATCCTCAGGTCCTTTAAAGGGCAGAATAGTTGACAGAGTGGAATATGGAGATATCTGTAAGTTACATAATGTAGATATGTGAATACAATATAATATTAATGTGACATTTAGCAGGTTTATAGGTTTCATCCTGTAAGAAATAATAAGAACAAAGCATATAAATTTAGCTACAATACTCTTTGCAGTGAGAGATTAATTCTGTAATCCAGTTAATAAGCCATCATTGTAACATCTCCAGTGAATTGTAAAGTGTTACCAATGAGAAGTTTAACTATTGTTCTTCATTTCATATAACTACAATGAATGATATAGGAGCTGTGATTGGGGATCATAGTTCAAGTCCCAGTAGGATCAAGAATTTTCTCTGTTTTGACCAGACTGACTTTGCAGCCTACCCGAACTTCTAAATCAAGGAATCATTAAAATGAGGGTTTCCCAGTATTTATAATTTTGGATCACATGGCAGTGTGGAATGATGAAGTGTTCTCCAAAACAGTGGCTAACCAGTCCCACCATAGGGTGATTAAATTATAGCTAGAATGAAGGCAGGTTAACAACAGACATGAAAGCCAGTAGGCTTCTAGCCTGAAATCTGCTGCAAATAAGGGCACAGAAAAAAAGTTTCTCAGAATTTTTTCCCCATAATGCAGTGTTGGCAAGTAGTAGTTTTGTTATATTCTTGAAATAAATTTGTGGAATGAATATTGATGTTAGTTGTGCAAAACAGCAATATTAAATTTTCATATTGTGAATTTCACTGGTGTATTTGAATAATTATGCATTCACTGTCATTAAACTTGCAAATGATAATAAGAAGTAATTCATTCATTTATTTCATTTCTGTTAATCCAGGCTGGTACAACCGTTGGATATAGAGGAAGTCAAAAAACATGCAGTCAAAAAGATTTTGTCAAAATTAAATATAAGATTAACAAGCAAATATAAATATTACAAGGTAACAATTTAAAAAATTATAAATATAGATAATATTTTGAATTAATAAACAGATAAAACAATTCAAATTATCTAACTTTGTACATAAAAAGTTATCCACTATATAAAATGAAATGATATTTTAATACCATATTAGCACATCTGTTACCGCACTCAAGTCATGGAAAGTTCAATCATTTTATAAAAGTGTGCTAATTAATAGAGGTACAACCACAAAACTACTTGAGCATAAAATACTACTAGTTTGTAATTAGCAGTCATAGAACAAGAAAAAAATAATAAATTCCCATAAAATATAACATCGATTTTATGCTGTCTAGGTTATTGACTAGTTTTATGCTTAAGAAACTCATCAACAGTGTAAAAAGAATGCTCATATAAATATTTTTTTAATGCTCTCTTAAAAACTTACTGTACTGCATAATTTTAGGCTTTTTTTTATGAGGAAACTAACAAACTAGGTTCTGGCTTACAGACCATTCAGCCATATTTTTGAAGAAAGAAAGCATTGTCATGATCCCTGCACTAAACAAACGGAAAATTTCTTTTAATACATGCGGTACCATTGAAATAAATCACATAAGAAAATAGAAATGAATAGATTCAAGTGGACGTGTTGTAACCAACATATAGCAGCTGTAAATATGTCTGTCAATTACAACAACTTTATACTTTCAATAAATGATAGAATCAGATTGTCGATGGATCAGTTTGGTTTATTAAAATATTTCAACACAGAAGGTTTGGTTCTTTACTACCGTCGTGAGGCATTTATAAACAATAAAATTCATCCATGTTCATTCCTAACCTGCATTACACAATGGATCCATTGCTAACAGTCTTTTCATATACAAAGTTTTTACATAAGATTACAATGTTTAAATATATTAAAATACTTGTTGAACATTAGTAAACCTTGTGTATAATTTGTTATTTTTATTTTTACTAAAAATTGTCATATTATGTATAAGTTCTTTGTGTTGGGGGTGATATGTTTCACACTTTTTTTCCCCTTATGGGGACATGGCTGTTGTCTTTGATGGCCATGTGTCACGTTCTTATATGCTCTGTGTTTAGCATAATGGAGTTTGTTTCTGGTCCTTTCTGTTGAGATATTATGACTTAGTTGATTCTGATGTTATGATGGTCATGCTATTGAGATTGAACACTTTAGTATCTTAATGAACTAAACTGATTTATCAATAGACATATTTACATATTAGTGACATACACAACAGGATGCTAAACATGCATGTCACCTTTGAGAAGCAAGACTTCTAACCAAGGAAGGAGCAACAAAGATTCCTTCCCCACACATGGCCATTGCGCACCAATCACTAGGCTTTCTCTTGAGAGAGGAACATTATCAAGTAGGCATCTACTATTTTGAATTGCTTCATTTTTGGTCCGTTACACTATCAATCACAAAGNTAGGAAACATCTGACCATAAGCCTATACAACCTCAAGCTGACATCTCCCATCATCGGGATGAATTAACAAGGAGGAGCCTAACATTTTACTTCAAATGTTTTAAACTTTTAAATATTTTAACATTGACGGTTTAATTTGAGGGCAATTTCGGATGGAATGCGAGAGTTGAACGTGCATTCAATATTCCTAGCAAGTGTTGTGCTTTTACACATCGACATTTGTAGCAGCGTCCACGCAGCATATATACTGTGTACATTTAAACAACGCCAGTGTTTTCATGTGTTTGTAATATGTGCCTCTGATGATGGTTTTATTAAACCGAAACATGTAAGGCAAATGTGATAAAGAAGTGACCTAAAAACATTGTTACACTCGACAGACTTTCTATTGACTTTGTTATCAAGTAGGATTTTGGAAACCAGTAGTGGGACAAGTATCAACATGATGCAGATTGTAGGAGAATTATACTTTGTGATTGTTGGCAGTCTTGGAGCAACAACTGCCAGAGAATGTGACACAATCTGGGCTTAACAAGGAGGATCCAGGAATGGCCCCCTCCCTCCCGTGTACATTCCATCAACGGAGGTCATGTTACCAGGAGCCTGTGAAGCAAAAAGCATGTGTTGTCTCTGAAGCAGTGAGTTTTGAGGTTTCCTTAGCAATGAAGATTTATATTGTGATCTTCTGGGTTAGGACACTGTATAGCTTGTGGGTGGCTATCAGCCTGAAAGCTGCAGGCAGTTATGTTACTCTGAAATGCCAGGACTATATGATACCCCAACCCACAAGATCACAATATGGAGGAGTTTGCAAGTTGACGCTTGGAGGGACAGATTCATTTGCATATTGATTGCTGATGCACTTCTGGTGGGAGTATCATTGTGACAGTTTGCCGTGAATCTAGCACGAATGCTGTTTATGAATAGCAATTTGCAGCTGTGTCAGGCTCCATGCATAGTGTAACTCTGTTAGGTTGAGAGTTTATCTCAGAAATAATTATGTTGGAAATTTATAGCAAAAAGTTTCTGATGTAATGAAATATTATTCTTTGAATATTGTGGTCCGGAGCCTCATATACTTACTTTAAGATTATGGAAAGATTGCTCCATGCTGTCATGAACTGTTACTGTTAATGCAAGTAACAAGTTGGACATCCTCTGAAAGATGTTTGTTCTTGTCGGTAGGAATTTGGTGGCATCCAGTGAAGAAGTCATTGTTCCAACGATGTAATTTTGTTCAGGCCAAACAAGGCTTCAGATTTCGGAGGGATATGCAGCAAATTCTCCCCCCATTACTGTGCGCCAACTGCAAGCAGTTTCTGCAGCAAAAGTGTGTGTCACACATGAACCTAATTATGCGGTATGTTGTGTAGAAATTGACAGTCAGTGGGGCTGCTTCAGTTTGCAAATTGCAGTGAAACCCAAATTTAATGTTCCGTTTCAGTGAGCTGAAGTCAGTACTCTCAGTGCTAAATTCCTTCCATTTAAGATTTTCAGTTCTCCCAGAAGAAGCCTTAAATATGGGTTTCACAGTCATCAGATATGTACTTAAAGTAAAAAGGCAACGTTGTCCCTGCGCTTAACTAATTAAACACTACAACATGAAAGCATATGGAGGAGTGGGGGTGTAGATTCACATTTTCTTGACCTCAGCATTAGTTGGAGGTGAGTGGTCAGCTTCACGCCCCTGCCGCTTTACCTCCAGGGAAAGTTATTCGAACTTTATTATGTCAGTGGTTTGCAACTCTGATATGTTGAGAGTTTTGTAATATAAAGCATAATTTTAGCAAAAATAACCAGTTATTGCACATCAGATGTTTATGCTTTCATGTGACCTGTTTTGCACTTGAAGGGGTGCATAACTTATGCATGTTTTTTGAAAAGAAATCTAGACCAAAGAGTTGATGGAGTCATTTTACAGGGGGAATTATGGAAATGCCTTAGTCATGGTCAATATATATGCCTGACACATTTGGTAAAGGACAAACTGGATAGGCCTTACTGGGAGTGAATTCATGACAAAAGGCAGCATACACATGTAATCAGAAGTTTTCTGTACTGCATGCTTCTGTTTTGCCTCTGTGGTCTAGTGGTTAGAGTTCCTGGCTACAGATCCATGGTCCCAGGTTCGATTCCCGGCGCTTCCGTGGGTCGGGAACAGGGTAAACTCAGCCTCGTGAGGATAATTGAGGAGCTATTTCAAGGAAATAGCGGCTCTGGTCTAGAAAACCAAAATTTACGACTGTGGGGATTCATTGCGCTGACCACGTGACACGCTCTATCCACTAAAGTTGGCACTTTGCTGACAAGTGGCAGTCACTCAGTCATTATAGTTCACTTGCTGGCTAAAAATCACGGTGTTTGTGTAGTGAAGGTCTGTAACATGAACACTTTTGTTCCATAGGTGCCCATGTTAGAAGTGGAGATGTATTCTTACAGAAATTTTGGCTGTTTACCTTTCTAATAAGGGTGCCCTTTCTTATCCATAAGAAATATCAGTGTGCTCGCTTTCTGCACTCATTTAGCTGTACCACTTGCGCGTGAATTTGATGGCCTCTTTCCAGACGTCGTGATTAAGCATAATGCACTGCACGGTCTTAAGTAGGATGGGAACAGTCAATATGCTGTGTTACTGGTACACGTGCATGAGTGGTGCACATGATCTGGTACATCACAGATCCATGTGCATATGCAGCCTAAGTTTGTTTCAATTTTGAGCATAAGAGCTTTAATTTTTATTTCAAGTTTCTGTAAGGGTGAAATAATGGTCTTTCTTATTCACTTCTTGGCTTGACTCTGTAAGAACCCTAACTGTCTTTATGACATATGCTCATTCTTCTTTCATATTTCCCTTGTACCTTCATTTTGCCGAGGGTACACGGTAGCATAGTGGTTAAGGTACTATGCTACAAGCTGGAAGGTCGTGGGTTCAAGTCCCGATGAGGTCATTGGGTTTTTTCAGTTGACCTAATCCTTCCAGCCACACTAGGCCCTGGGGTTTACTCAGCCTCTAACAGAAATGAGTACCAGGAATTAATTAAATAATTTTCCTATGGAGTGAAGCGCGGTCGGCTCGTAAGGCTGACAACCTAACCAGCATCTTTGAGCCGATTGTCAAGGTAACGTGGGACCCTTAACATGTCACAACCCCATGGGCCTTCATGGCCTGTTACAGGGATAGCTTTACTTTTTTTAAATTTTTTACCTTCATTTTGCCACTTTCAGCTCAAGTAAATCATTCTCTGTTTCTTCCAGCCTTCTCAATCTAGGCCTGTACATTTTCCTTCATCTTTGTGGCCTGCTTACTAAGATTTGCTTCGTTTAATTGACTATTCTGATGTGTGTTTGTGCACACGCATGCTATGATAAGCAGAAGTGGTAATGTGCACATTTTTTAGGTTCGAGACTACATATGGCACTTCCCTACATGAATCCTAATAGTCTTTAGGAACTCTCCGATTTTGTATAAATCAGAGTGCAGTAAGACAAGGTCTGCATACGTCGTGTACATTTACTTACCATCCTTTCACATGTGTTGTAATACTCATTTGATTCCAAATCTGTGTAGTGGTTTTGTAATGGAATCATATTATTCTGCTCAGGAAGCACTTCAGCTGAGCAAATGTGTGACTTGCCTGTATCTTGACTGGGCCATTTATTGCTCATTCAGATGTGTACGATATCTCATTAAAGCCTGTAACCCATTTCTGTACGAATGAAACAGACAGCAGCTCTCTGGGTGGCATGAATCTGATCACTTGACTCAGTCTAGTGCCAGATTGCTGTGAAATACTCAAAAAGTCTTAATGTTGTGTTTTGTTCATTCACACTTGGTGCACAGGAAGTGGACACATCACAGACCGCCTAGATCAAAATACAATGTGTGAATGGGGGAGCTTACAGAGGCAAGGTAATCAGTGATTTGCATTAATTATTTTGGGAAAAAGAAAGCCACCAGGTGTCACTTCATTATATTTGGAAATTGCAGACCATTTTCTAATTACAGTGTTAGAGAAACTAAAGTGGTTGTTGTTATTATTAACTTCGTAAATGAAAGGGTCGTCATCCTAGAAGGATCGTTGCAATGAAACAAAAGATCTTAGCTCACAACTTCTCTGGCGGCGATAATGATCTGTGTGTGGTGTTGGTTGGTGGCCACTTCTAAACTGAGATGCATTGGCAGGGAGGAAGAGTTGTAACACGTTAAACAGATTGTTTGGAATGGGGGTGAACAAAGTCTTTTCAATTTTAGCACCATGTCACGTACATGTTAATATTTAAACATTAAAGATTATGTATTTACTCTTGCCAAGGCAACTTACACAACGGCTAAATATGAGATGAATTGTGTCTCAAACAAGTTAACATTCTGGAACCGCGATAGGTTAGAAAGTGTAGTGATGTGTTATGAGCTGCATAGCCAGGGTTCAATTCCCCATCCAGTGGGGGCACTTTGCCTGCCGTGTGCTCTGGTTCTTAACTGAGCACAGAGTGTCTACTGGGAATTTTGTAATCCTGGTTTAGATGCTGGTTGTTACAGTAAACCAGAGAAGCTGCTCAGATGATTAAATTGAAGATGGCTCATTGGCCTCTGTTACATAATTTTTATTTGGGTGTGACCGCTATGTTCCCTTCAGCGAAGTTTTCTGAATATAAAGTTAATCATTGAAAGTATGAGAGTTCGAATCTTATAGTCAAGGCAACAAGGAGGCATTAGGTGAAAAGGAGGTCTGTCTTCCATTTGTTAGAGACATGATACTTGTCAGCAGGGCTCTGTAATTGCAAGATCAGTAATGGCTGGTAACACTCAAGTGTAGTGCTTATTTGTAACTGAAAAATCGTTCCTTACAGGACCATTTTTCAGATCAACTTACTGCCCCCCCCCCCAGTCTTCAGGTACCTGTGCTTGGTACAGTGTGATTCTAAGGTGTAGATGTAACTTAAGAAGGGAGCAGTAAGTTTCTGTGCAAAATATAAAAATTCTAATTTTATCTTGTTTGTTCTCACAGGCTGGGGAGAACACAAGGAGACCTACAGAGGGCTACGTGCTGGAAAGGATATATCTGGGGTCCTGCCAAATTTTATTTTCTACGAGATAGTGCCATGCATCAGTGATGCACGCCACTCCTCTGCTTCAACAACTCACATTACATACAAGTTCAGGCATAAGCACCAGCCCTTGCTTTATTTTCACATTCATCCTGCTGTAAATTATATACAGAATCAATACATCATCCAAGAACACATGCTACTATTCGCACTGAAGTGAAGAAAAGTAGAAAGTGTGTAGTCTGGAAGAGACAATTTGTGGAGGGAGTTGGAAGTGCTTGAAGAAGTATGCAGTTTGTTGCTCAAGAAGACTTGCTGGTGAAAGTTGAAGTTTCTTTTGCACATTATCTTGTAGAAAATAAAATTGCACGACACTGCACACATGTCCTCTCCAGCACGTTGACTCTCATGCCCCCCCCCCGGCAAAGCAAAACCAAAAGGCTACCATTAGTTTTCATCATCCTCTACCAAATAAATAAAGCCATTATTTAGTCAGTTTTATTTATAATAATTCAAAATCTTGTTATACCATTAGACCTTTTCAATAGAATGTGCAGAGAGGAAGTTTTGTATGTTGTTGAGCACTGTTGTGTCAGGGTTAAGGTTACTATCTATTTGTTTTATCTGCAAAAGAAAGGTAAAATATTGTAACGTGTTAAGACACTGATCCCACTTCTGACACCAGTGTAACGTGTTTCGTTACTGAAGACGCCGTAGAGATGGTTAATTGGTTTATTCAACAATCTACAAGAAACGGCTATAATTACTTATCACAATATTACGGGTTTCCACACTTTACAAACCCTACAACAAAATCTCTTAACACGATCTTCACGAGTCTTCAAGTATTAATAACGCGGGAGCTATACAAGTCTCCCTGAAATACACACTCCAGATATGACTGGTTATCACTGGTTATCGCACAAGCGGCTGTTATGTTTCAACTGACTGGCTGCCTTTACGACTCGACTCGGCGACTGTTACTTTATAACTGACTGTGAATAGCCTTCGCTGCTTCTTAAGTAGCCTCGATCGGACAGTTGTTGCCTGGTGCCTTGTTGCTAGCCACGCTGTCCGCAGTTGTTAACGGCTGCCCAGTAACCGTGGTATCCCTCGGTGACGTCACCGCGTTGACGTGCGTTGCCTAGCGACCAGGACCCTAGGACTCGGCTAACATCAGCTCGCTTCGGCTTCGCTCGGCGCATCACGGCTGGCGGAGGGTGGGAGGGGGAGGGGCGTCATTCAGAGCCCAACATGTCACAATATATATAAACTGCACATTATGACTGATTGTGTGAAACATAACAGACACTTTGTATGTAGGATTACAGGTTCTCATGCCAGTGGTTATGAAGACTTCTGTTTCCTGGGATACAGAGTGATGTAGTTTGTTGAAAGTCAACTGACATTTCAGAGGAAAATTTTGCTTCCTCCTTCAGGGCTGAACAACAAGCCAAGTAAGAAACCAGTGTGAAGCAGGTGGCAAGAAGAAGAACTTTTATGTATATGTGTTTTGTATGTATTGGTACTAGATGAAACAAATAGATAACCACCCTAGCCCAATAGCAGCACTACTCAATAACATGTACAGTTCATCTTTACACATTCTGTAGAAAAGGTCTAATGATGGTGTAAGAATTCCGCTCTAGAAGACCAAGACTAACGGCCGTGGGAATCTGTTGCGCTGACCATGCAACACCCTCTATCTGCAGAAGTTGGCAATAACTTCACCGACAAGCTCCAGTCAATCAGTCGGTATAGTTCGCTTGCAGACTGAAGCCATGGAGTTTGTGTGAGATTGATGCCAGAACATGTAACCTTTGAAGTATTACAGACCAAGTTGCTTGGCTGAGCTTTTTAACTAACACATTTATATCTACTGAACAGAATGGAATGGAGTCATTTAAGTTTACAAGTTAACAAATCAAGCTTACTGTAGAATAATACTCAAGTAAGAAAACCTCTGTAGCATTTTGGAAATGGAGTTCAGTTCATTCTTGAGGTAATCAATGTCAGTGATGACATTCAGAATCGATTGAAATTAATTTGAAAATGGAAGCATTGTTAGGAATAGGTTGTGTACATTGACAGGTACAGTTCAAAGACTTCTGGTAGAACATCCATCCATCCATCCATCCATCCATCCATCCATTGTTACCGATCCATCCCAATTTAGCCTACTTTCCTTATTTTGAAAAAATAATTGTAGGCTTGTCTGGCTCTTTATCCCCCCCCATTAACCTTTCAATGCCTGAACACATGTTTATGAAACTTGGTATGCATATCATGACACCTGAGCCCATTTCAAAAGCATACTTCATAAATCCCTCCCATCAGCCTTTGTGTCTGTATGTGTATCCCCTCTCCTTTGCTAGACAGGGGCTTCGTAAAAATGTTACCACAGCAATGAATACACACAACAGTAGAATGGTTGGATGCATCATTTTCTGTACTTAAACTTCTGCAAGATTAGAATTATGTGGATTTAAGTTGAGAGAAATTTTGTAGTCAAATGGAAAATATTTTCATGAGTGTCTAGTAATCAGAACCCTACTTTTATTATAATTAAATCAGGGTTCTGACAGTGGTGTGTAACACTCAGAATTACTGGGTTTTTGGACTTGTCCATCATTTGGTATTCTAGAAACTAGAAAACATTTTGGAAAAAAGATCTGTTTCCTTCCTCAGGTGAGGGGTTGGGGGCAGACTCATACTCAGTTGGGTCCCTTAGAAAGAGCTAACCTCAGTCACTGGAGAAATTGATGTTAGCACTTTCTAAGGGACCCAACTGAGTAGGTGTCTTCCTCCCCTCACCTTAAGACACACAGATCTAGTTTCTAGAATACCAGATGGTGGACAAAGTCCAAAAACCCAGTAATTCTAATGAATAGTATGTTTAGAAGAAATGTTTGCAGAATTCATTTTGAAGTTCCTGTACTGTATATACGGTCCTTGTAGGTTAGCAGCAGACCAAAATAATTAACATTTCTGGAATCTTAGGATTATCCCCCCCCCACTGGAAAACCCCATGTAAAATTGCTATGCCTGTCCTGTCTATATGCCTTGAAGGGAGTAGTTATTTTACTGGATCCCCTTACTGACCACAGCCAGTTAGAATTTTCTAAGGGACAATCTACATCTAGAATAATTCACCTTATTTTTTCCATGTGCGATATTTGATACAACAGCTTCTGCCATGCCATTATGCTTCCTTTGTGTTCTTAATCTGTTGTAATTTGCACCAGGCTGGACTACCTTGTGTCATATTTATTCAAGTGGGCATATATACAGGGTGTCCCAGGAGGAATGTGCCAAACTTCGGGAGGGTGTTCCTTATGTTAAAGTATGCCGATATAACCCAAAACACCTATGTCCAAAGTTGAACGGTTACGGAGATAATGGCCAGAGAAGTGTGAAACTTTGACTGGTGTTACACACTTGTTGATTACAAAATACATATTAAAACTTGCAGGAATATGTGGTTTCTGTAATGTTAATAATGTACGTAACATCAAACTAACTTGTGAGTGACATGAAGCCATAAAATTGAAGTACAAAATACTCGCTCACCATGACATAATTGTCCTTAGGTTTCCAAGCACACTATACATGACACATGACTGACACATGCTGACATAACATGGCTGACTGAGCATTCTCGTATAAGCCAACTACATAACTGTATTAAACGTACATTCACGGAAAATCTCTTTTGGAATTTCGTTTCCATTATCTCATGTGGATTATTATGGGACCACGTATGCACATTTTCATAAATTATTACACCGTCCCGGGTAAAAGATGCCTCATCACTGAATAAAATGACGCTTAACAGTTCGGGATGA